GTTCTGATTTCTCCAGCCCCTGGATTTAGCTCAAAGATATCTCCTTCCTTGTTGGAAGCAATTGCATAAAGGGAAGGATACAACTCACAAAGGGGTTGTTGACTTGAGCACCAACAATCTCTTTAACAGAACCCTTGAAGAACCATTTATAACCAATATGAACATAGCTTCCCTACTCCCATTCCTCTACCCCCACCTTCAAAAGTAAATTGAAACAAACGCACACCTGCATTAGGAGGCCCAGTGGATGATTCAAATCTCTCCAGCAGATCCCTTGAAGAACCATGCTCATAGAAGTACGAGCCAAAATATGTAACAAGTTAACAATGATTTATGCATTTTTTTTTGTCCTTTTAAAATTTGGGAGACCATCAAAAGTTTCATGTGTCAAATTCATGGCCATTTAATTTCCATCCACACAGGAGTCATTTATCTAACTTGTCCTCCAAATATAATGTTTCATAGGGCTGCTACTCTATTAATATGATAATTGTAGGTAGGGTAGTAGGCCTACACAGTACTTTTGGGCCATTTGTAAGTGTATGGTCTGCGATAGGACTTGATACTTATGTAAGTATCAACACTTTTAAGTATCAAATGTATAGAGCCTCAAAACTAGGTTTTGTGCTTTTTGGGCCTTAAAGGCACAAGTCTTCAAACTTTTTCAAGCATAACTATATTCAATAGATTTGGGTCAGACCTAGAATGTCTGGAATGCATTGGTATTTAGAGATATTAAGATATCTACTCCTAGGTTCCTTTAATTGATTTCATTTCTAATACTACAAATTTTTATCCTACCCTTAATATTATTTACTTTGAATTTATAGGATTGATTATATTCATAGGGCATTTTGTGTGGGTTTTGTGACGTCTAGGTTGCTTTGGAAAAGGATGTAAGTAACAACTTCATTGTTTAATTTGTTTATTCTTTTGTCTATCTTTTCTAATATTGGAATGCCATGGAATGTGCTATGGACATGCTCTATATGATATTGGAGTGCTATGGATATGCTAACTGGCATGGTGAGGAGTTTTAGAGGATTAAATAAATCCAACTAGGTTTCTCTATATCAAACCCAAAGTAACAATTGAAAATTGACCAACTAAGCCTGGATTGTTAAACCAACTTATTTGGGTCAGCCTTGTTCCTGACAAGTCATTAAGAATGCTAGTCGGTTCAGTATGGCCAATCTGATTTTCTTAACTTAAAAATTCATTCTTGTGCACATTTGCACAAGTCAGTTGGTATGGTTCTTGGTACCCCAGTTCTTCCAGTTTGGAACTGGCCAAATTATTCATGAATTTCATAGAAAATTTAACAAATTTGCTAATGAAATATGGTAAACAGGTTAGAGTGGGTTTTAGCTGAAGTAGATCCCAAGTTGGAGCCTTTGAAAATACAACAACTAAGTAAAAGTCAACAAAACTGAATGAATGGATACTTTACTTCTACTAAAAAAATCAAAGTGAACCACTGACATTTGGTGATCATGGGTTCAGTAAAAGAGGTTGTATTTAGGCAAACAAACCAGTAGACTTGAGTTTTGTGTATACTCTGTCTCTCCATGTTCCTGTTCTTGTAAAGAGGAATSATTAATTGGAGAAACACAGGTTTGAGTCTGAGAGAAGCCACTTTGCTCAAGAAATGMCAGAGGTTAGGTCCATACCAACTCCACCAGTCCACCCTTCGCAAGATCAATAATAGTTGGAACCAGATTTCAGTAATTCCCTTTTTTTGTTACTTTTTGTCCATGGTACAGTGCTAATCAATTAGTGTTGGTTACAGAGACCCAAAATTGATGGTATAGTGCACTATATTGGATATTTGCATTCTCCAAACAGGCACAAGAAGGGGGTGCACAATTATAATTTGTGAAAATTTCATATCCTCACAAGTATCAAAAGAAATTTGAAACCTCCATGCTGTAAACATTTTCATGTCAACTTGAAGGGGTAAGTCCTTGCCCAATCTGTGGAGCACCAAGGTTTAGGGAATGCATGAAATAGGTTATATGGAATGCATGATAACAATATTTCTAGCATCTGGTAGGAAAGAACATTCTGGTTGAACCGGAGTGTTCAACWTGCACAAGTGTTTTTATAAGATATACTTGAATGATAGGACTACTATGTTTAGTAGTCTAAGAAGTGTTTAGTCTATCTTCCTGACCTATTTGTAAATTATCATTTTTTAACTGTTTTTTTTTAGGATTATGAATGATAGGACTAGTATGTTTAGTAGTCTTTTTCACCATAGATGTACCCAAAACATCAGCAGTCAGCAATTAGCAGACTCAACACTCATAAGTCTATGAGTTCCTTTTGCTCTGTCTGTTCAACWAATTAGAAATTGAGCTGATCAAAACTGGAATAACTTAGCTTCAGGAGAGGGAAGTAAAAAAGGACCTACATTCTCTTT